AAACCAGGGGTCTTATTTTCTAAAACTGGTGCTACCTTGTGTAGAGAGAAAAACCCCGTCTCAGTGCTGCACTGCTGAGCAAATCCACAGAAAGCTGGAAGCAATATCAAATGAGAGGGAATCTGGCAGGATTAACAAAGGTCTTGTTACAAAGATCGTGTTTTAACCAGCTCAGAGCTGAGATTTCTTAACTGGAGCAACAAGGTAGGTTACAAATCCTCACAGGAAAATCATGTGGGCATCAAGCAACAGATGTTTTCCCACAGATAGCTTTTTGTTTTTCAACCTGTTCTTGACTTAATTTACATGTTGCACTGTGAGGTGTATATCGCAGCTTACTGACCTCAAATCATTCTCTCATTTTTTTAACTTGAAGATTGACTGTAAATATGTGATGCTAAATTTGACATGTCTGTAAGTGAAATATCATCGTCACATAGTCTTTTACTGTTGCTCTGGCTCTGTTTATTTTCAGGACAGAAGTGAATAATAAATAATAAGCTATGTGTCACTGGAATACATCACAGCCTCTAGTCTGAACTCTTTTTTTTCTTTACAAACAAAACACGAAGACTCATATACTAATATGCAAAAGAACCATAGTTCCTTCTGTTATAGATGCTCTACTAATACCTGCAAAGTGACTATCATCACATGAAAAACAGTGTGGAAATAAATCCTTTAAATAATACACTATATTGCCAAAAGTATTTACTCACCCATTCAAATGATTGAATTCTTGTGTTACAATCACTTTCATGGCCACAGGTGTATAACATCAAGCACCTAGGCATGTAGACTGCTTCTACAAACATTTGTGAAAGAACGGGTCACTCTCAGGAGTTCAATGAATTCCAGCGCGATACCATTATAGGATGCCACTTGTGCAACATGTCCAGTTGTAAAAATATTCAGTCACCAACAGCTGACTGTTGGTTATAATATCACCAACAGCTGATATTATATGGTGATATTATAACAAAGGGTCAATGATTGGGAACAGCAACTCAGTCATGTAAAATCACAGACCCGGGCCAGTGGATACTGAAGCGCAGAGGTCTTTCTGCAGAGTCAATCCAAACTTCCTGTGGCCTTCAGGGTAGCTCAAAAACAGTGTGTAGAAAGCTTAATGGAATGGGTTTCCATGGCCGAGCAGCTGCATCCAAGCCCTACATCACCAAGTGTAATGCAAAACGTCAGATGGACTTATATAAAGCACACTGCTACTGGACTGGAGTGATGAAATACACTTCTCTTTCTGGCATTTCAATGAGTCTGGGTTTGGCAGTTTGCCAGGAGGACAGTACTTTTTTGACTGCATTGTGCCAAGTGTGAATTTTGGTGGAGGGAGGATTATAGTGTCGGGTTGTTTTTCAAGAGTTGGGCTCTGCCCTTCATTTCCAGAGAGAGGAATTCTGAATGAAAAACAGTTTTTACCACCAAGCCATATGACACTTCAACCACAACACTTAAACACACACAACACACAGGACGCACTCAGAAGCTACCTTGCAGCTTCACAAGTACTCTGTTTAATCTGCACTGGTCACTTTATTGTTATTGATATTTATATTTAAAAAGTGCAATACTGTAATTTTCTGCTGCTCATTCCTGTGCAATATCCCATCTGCCCCCCCCCCATCATATTTCTTTTCAAGATTTTCTTATTTAATCACTAGTGTACATATATTTATATTTATAGATACATATATATTTAGTTATCTTTTCTCTTTTACCACGTCTCTCTAATATTTTGCTCTTTACTAATTTTCTATTTTTTTTAATTATTTTATTTTATTCTATTATATTTTCTTCTACTGTACCATGCTGCTGAGTGACTGCTGCTCGTCAAACACATTTCATTGCAATGTTGACCCTGTGCTAACTTGCATATGACAGATAAAACTGAATGCTTAATCACACCAAGACATATTGCACAATTTAAATGCTCCCAACTTTGGTGGAACAGTTTGGAGATGGCTTGTTCCTGTTCCAACACGACTGCGCACCAGTGCACAAAGAAAGATCCATAAAGATGTGGAGGAGCGAATTTGGTGTGGAGGAACTTGACTGATGCAGGTAAGACTGAAACAAAGCTCACACCCCAATCAATAACCGTTAATGTCTATTACATATTAAAAAGAAGCTACAATTGTTTCTGGGCCTAACATACCCATTCAACCTCTTAGCACACAGATACTGCACAAGCAGCACAAATGAAGTATTCAAAAGAGTGGCAGTATCGAATAGAGCTTATATGATATGCACTCTACACAAAATAAGACTAGAAAATTGTGTAATCATGGGGACAAATCGCACAGGTAATCAGGTTAATTAGTGACAGGACTGGGTATGAAAAGAGAATCCCAGAGAAAAAGCCTAGAAATAACACAGCAAAAAAAAAAAAAAGTCATTGTCACTGATTATGGTTTGTTTGGAAATAAAAGAAAATAAGAAAAAAGAAAATAGAAGAGTATCAATATCCAGAAGGGCATCGGGGTGAATGAATGCTCATAACTGCAGTACTGTGCAAAAGTCCTGAGACACTCATTTCATTAAATTTTGTTAGGAATATTGGAAACAGGTGCAGAGATTTACTGACATATCCAAACACACATTGAAAGACAGTATATAAAAAACCGAGTTTATACAAGTCAATGTGGTAATCCGGTTGTTCAGTGATGACGCGACGAATCCTACTTCCGGGTCTAAAGTAGTCTGCGTTTAATATGGCTTTTGTGTTGTTAACATGTTTAATGTTATGTATTTTCTTCTATTTGATCTCAAAAAGCTCCTAAAACAGTCAGTGATCCCTGTTGACCTCCCTCGGCTTTTATTACCGCTAATCATTTATTTAAGCTCAGTTTTTAAAACCTTAGGATGTAACTACAGCCCAGCCCATGCAGCAGTATATGAATGACTAACTTTGTATTGTGGATGGATTATCTCAGTTGTTCTCCTGGCTGAAGTTTGGTCCTTTTACAGCATCCTGCCATGCGATTACATTTGTTTCTGACCACCGAGAAAACTCACGTTAACTTTTATCGAGTGGAAAAAAAGTTAGCTTGTTTATATTATGCTAACATAGCTGTGTCGCCAGCGGTCACGTAGCACATCATTATATACCAGCTAGCCAAACTTCAGTAACCCTACAAACGTCACTGCTGTTTAGTTTTCTGCCTTCATTTATGCTGGAAGTGATAAGAAAGCTGTATGTTTTAATTTGTTTCCAAAACCCCGCAGTCAGGACATGCTTTATTGTATTTAGATAGAAGCTAGCGAGCTAACTCCCTGCTAACTTCTAACTCTGTTAAATGTCATAAATTCCGTTTTCATGGATGCCTGGATGTTAAACTCAATTGTTACACCTGGTAGAGCAGAACGCTGATCATTTTATTAAAGATGAAAGACTTTAGACAGTTTTTCAACTCTCAGTAATGCCACAGTGATCGTTTGATATATGGACCTGCAACGGAGTTTAGACCCAGACACGGCTAGTGACGTCAGACTGAACAACCGGATATTTGGTATGACTACCTGTATTCTTCAAGATAGCCTGAACTCTCTTAGCAAAACTTTCTTGTAATTTCTTTAAGTAGTATTCAGGAATACTTCCAGGTTTCTTGAAGGACATTCAAAGTTCTTCGTTGGTTGTTGGCTGCCTTTTATTTCATTCTCTGCCACGATGACACCACACTGCTTCAATAACATTGAGTTTCAGGCTCTGGGGAGGCCAATCCATGACTCTTCCAGTGTGTAGTTCAATGCAGTATGCTTTTACTGCATTTGGGATCATTGTCATACTGAAAAATTAAGCTGCTGCCAATCAGATGCTTTCCAGATTCTTGTATCCTGACTTCATAAGCATTTGAAATTTCAAATTTGGATTTATCACTCCATCAAACCTGTTTCTCCTGATTTTCAGTCAAGTTCTTATGAAATTTGGCATATCAGAGGACATGACTATCAGGTGCTGTTCATCTGCTGTGATAGTTTTTCTATATTGGCCACTACTTATTTTTTCCTCCACTTTTTCACATTACTCAAATATTTTAAGTACAACAAACCGTGCTTTTTACCTCTTTGAGAATCACCTTGTTAGTGCACATAAAATACTTACTGTTATCTTTGTGTTATCCTTGGCATTTGTCATACCGTTGTTCGAACATACAAGAACAAATTATGTGTTTTTTTTGAGAGGCTGCTTGTAACAAAGTGCCAATTTAAATGGTTCTCTTTGCTAAGTTGTCCAATGTACCAGTTTGTCCCTTGATATATGCCTTTCTTGTTAGTTTTTGTGCTTGAATGATTCATAGTGTTAAGTGCCTTAAGAAAAACAAACAAAACCTCTGAAAATGGTGAACATAAGGTCTGGAATGAAAATGAATGAAAAGCAGACAATATCCAAAGAAAAATAGTAAAAGACTTTCATAAAGCCTGGGAAACGATTTATATTTAAACACCACAAATTAGGAGAACGTTTGGTTCCTTGAAAACAAAATATAAAGTAATGAGAGGTGCTTCAAGACTTATGCACAACACTGTACTGTTTTTGCAGGTTTTGGAACAGCACTTGTTGTCCTGCAGATGATGTCTTTTTTTAAGAAAGCCTTGCTTGTGTCTGTGAGATAGTGCCAGACAACATTATGCAGGTAGACCAAGGAGACCACTATGGCAAACTAGTGCAGGTGATAAATGGCCCTGCCTGCAGTCCAAAGCTGTCTCCCCTTGAAACATTTTGTACATTATGAAATGAAAAATACAACAAAGGAGTCCCCGAATTGCTGTGGATATGAAATTCCAAGCAACAACACAAAATCATTTTGCTTTCAAAGCTACAGCTGCTGGCTTCCTCAGTTATCAAAAGTGTAGTTTAAAAGTACATGTATAGCCACATAATGGGATACATGCCCCCATCCCAACTATTTTAAAGCATGCGAACTGGCATCGCGTTTAAAACGAGAATGTATTTCTTAAAAAACAAAAAACAAGCAAGAAAATGTGTTCGTTTCAACATTTATTACTATTTCTATTTATTTCCATTTAAATTTGAACATTTAAACTCAGTCCCGGCTTTATATTGTTGCATTAATTGGAGTCATAATTTAACTGAGGTTCAAGAATATTATTGTGCTTTGTGGTTACAACACCTGAAAAGTTATTATGAGACTCGTAAAGAGACTAAGTTGCAGTCTAAAGATACTAACAGCAAATCTTTAGACAGTCACTTTTCACTTGTTAATGACGCCGCAGCGTGTTACTGATTGCAGTCTCTGGAGGTGAGCAGACCAAGATTATGGTCTCTGTGAGGAGCCTGTGGCAATACCTCCACTGATGAGCAAGACTGAAGCTCAGATGACGATGTAACCTTGTATGAATCAAACCTGATTTACATGTTGAATAACGATAAATTAATATGCAAGTTTTTTTTTAACCGTACTGTTGCAAACATCAAGCTGTAGCAAGTGCAGGGCCTTGTGTGACCATCCATTAGCTGCTTAACATCAAGGTTTAGCATTAGCACAAGTAAAATAAAAGTAATGTAGTAGGGGAATACGCTTGATGAGAAAAAGCAAAAATAAAGCTAGAGCAACCAAAACCTGTTCCCCTGTTTTCTATTTACTTAACATGTTATGAGCGTAATTTGGGAACTTCTCATGCTGGTTGAGTTCAGATTAAAATCAAATAAAAATCAGATTTCTTATTTACTTGTTCTTGACTTGCTCCAAAAAAAGAATTAATTGAAATCTGGCCCAAACACAATAGCATGTCTTTGCTTTAGGACAGACTGTACAAGGAGGAGCCAGGCTCTGGTATAGTCACTGGTCACAATTGAGTAGATAGTGAGCTTTAGAGGTATTTAAATGCAGATTGTTAGGGGTTGTTATCTTTGAGCAGTGATTCCTCTTTCTAGCCTTTGCGCTAACTGATTCCAGGCTAACCTTAGATATTACATACAAACAGTCAATTTATTTAATTAATAGCTGTGTACAAACACCACATATTCATGCCAAAATCCCACATGGTTGACTGTTCATTGTTAAGCAGGTTGAATCCTTTATTTATGAGCAGGCTTCAGCTGTGAGCTGGTTATCTGCTCGGGCAGAGGGAACAGGTGGTTGATTTGCTCAGGGTGACATGTCTTTATCCAGCCAGCATGTTACAGTGAGCACATACAGGCCTTTCATTATCATCAAATTTGGCAACACAGATCAAAGGAACGCAAGATAAACCAAGCAAGAGAGTAGCATTTCTGCCTTTTGATGATGAAAGCACCTTTCCACAGATGTGCTGTAGCCTAAATATAACCTTTAATCATGTTAGGTTCTAATTGCGGCACCAATTCAGGCTATGAATTGTAGGATGGGAAATTTTATTTATTTCACAGTCTCGATTGGTGCTCAGCTTACACAGCATGTTCCTATAAAAAAGAACGTCTTGTCTATACAGTAACTATTTTCAGTTTGGCTTTTCATTTACTATATTTTTCCGACTATGGATTAAATTAGATCTAGAAAGAGCTAGAAAACTGACCTCAAATACTACTACTGAAATGGCAAGCAGATAATATTCTGTGGCTTTAAAGACATTTTGATTGTGCAGTAATGTCAGGAAATGAAGCTATAATTCAGCCCCAAGAAGCGTGTTTGACTTTTAGAAAGCTCAGTAATTACTGCTCATTCTAATGCTGCTATTTGCCATCTCATGCACTAAGTGCAGAAAACAAAATGGCCTAAAATTGTGTAAAAGTTGGACTGAATATTTTAAATGATGAATTAGTTGAGATGGGGCAATTCACAGTCTTCACAGTCATCCTAATTACTTCATATTATGGGTGCAGACAGAACTTCACAGCATCCTGTGATAAATATTAAGCTGGTTTATAAGATATGCTTTACTATGATACATGTCACATATACTCCTAAAGGCAGACTTGTTTGTTTGTTTTGTACTGCACACATTATTCAATCACTTTTCAAGGCGTCTGATGAGAATCTCGCTGATGATAACTCCAGCAGCAAGGATGACGAACATTAGCAGCACAGTGGCACCACGTCGTAACACCAGCTGCCTGGTGGATAAGGCCATTGCGCCCAAGGCCCTCTCATCTGAATTGAGTGGCTCTGGCCTTTCTTCTACTGGAATCACAGAACTGGATCAGCTAGTCGTTATGCATTTTTCCCTTGGGTCCAGGGTGCTCAGGGAAACTTTAAAATCACGGTAATCTTATTTCCCAGAAAAATGACCAAAAGCTACTGAAGGAAATTTTTTTTTGCTTACCATTAGTATTCCTCTCTGTAATTTGGACTCCTGCTCTTACAAGTGCCTATTCAGAGATATTAAAAAACAAGAAAAAAAATAAGTATTTTAAAAATAACACAGATCCCAGATTTTACATAGATCGTGTTAACATTACATTAACTACATTTCTTACATTCACACGAAAGAGAAAATGCCCAAAACGCATAAGCTAGGTCTCTGACTACACAGGCCTCAGAACACTGAGAAAAACGCTGAACAAACATGGCTTCTTTGGAAAGGTTCTCAGAAGAATCTCTGTAATAACAACATAGCAGCACAGCTTAGGTTTGTAAAGCTGTATCTGAACAAAGCACAAAAACGTCTCTCTTTTGGAGAAAAATGCTCTTATCTCATCTTGAAAGCAGAGGAACATCATATCAGAAAGGCCCTGAGTGAAAGTGGTTATTCCAGCTGGACATGTTGTGAAAGCTGGGAAGTCCCCTAAAGAATGCTCCACACATTCCAGAAGAGAAGAAGGACAACCGCTGCCTAAGCAAAGAACTTTGGTCATCCTTTGTGTCAGGCTATTTCAGAATCTTACAATGCTGTTTTTCTAGTCATTCCCTAATTCTCTGTGAATGGCCATTAAGCAATGGTCTTGACAATTTGCATGTTAATGATTAGGAAACTGTGCTCATGGCCCAGTGTTGGTCAGTGGTGTTAGTTGGGGAAACCTGCAGCCACGTGAGGTTGAAGGGGTCATTTGGATGACTAACAAAATGGCTTCTCCCACTTAAAACACTACATCCAGATGAAAAGGATCAACTTTCTGGGACCTCATACCAACTGTCACGCACTTGTCACTGTCACTTGATCCCAAGCACAGCAGCAGATCTACAACAGAAAGGGTAAAAAACAACAACAAAAAACTAAATCCGAATCAAGGTGTTGGAGTGACCCAGTCAAAGTCCAGACCTCAGACTGATTGAAAATGAAATTTGGTGGGACCCTAAGAGAACTGTGCATAAACAAATACCAGCAAGTCTCAAGAAACTGGAGTGCTGTTGTAAAAAAAATCCTCCACAACAACATGAGAGACTGAAACTCCTTCTGATAAAGTCACATTGAAATATATTACTTCTAGTTCTTGCTACTAAAAGTGGCTCTGGAAGCTTTTTTCACAGGACTTAACATGTTCTTTTTTACATGACTGTATCTTCCTCTTCCTCACCCAGGACTTACTCACCTCCTCAGTGGCTTTCGTCCAGTTTAGTTTACACAGGAAAGTTATAAAAAACATGGACTGTAAAGAAGTACTAACTAAAAACCCAGTCCAAAGCCCTGCAACAGAGATAGAAAGTCATCAGTTAGTTGTTAGTGTAAATATAATTTAACTATCTTTTGTATATGCTGCAAAAATATATTGTTGACATTAACCAAAAATTCCCATTTTCACAGGGAACATTAAAGATACTCCAATCGGGAACCCAATGAGGTAGTATCCCACCAAGCTGCACAGCGCACCAATCTTCTGCTTCCCTGCCCCCCTGACAATGCTTCCTGACACACCCTGTGAAGGTAAAAAAGCAAATAAAAGTTTTCTGTCGACACATCAGGCTGGTTTTGCTCAGCAGAGGGAAAAAGTGTTTTTGAACTGGGAAGGATCTCACCGCAATAGTCTCAGCAACATGGATGAAACTGTATATCTTCATGATATTAGCCACCCTCTGTATAATGTCTCTGAAATAGAGGAGTAAGTAGGAGTAAGCCAATTTAATTAGATTCAGTTTCATTTATATAGTGCCAATTCACAACAACAGTCTCCTCAAGGTATTTCATATTGGAACGTAAATATCCCACAACAGTAGAAAAAAACTCCAACCCCAATCACGTGACCCATTATGAGCAAGCAAGTGGCTGAAGCTGGGAAGGGAACAAACTCCCATTTAACAGGAAGAAACCTCCAGCAGAACTGTCTGCTGTGACCGGTCGAGGGTGAAGAGAATGAGAAGACAGCAGAGAGAATCAGGACAAGACACGCATCTAAAAAAAGCCAGAGTTCCATAATTATTATTGATTGAATGCAGAGTGGTATATAAGCACAAAGCACATGGTCAGTGCATCACGGGAACCCCCCAGTAGCCTAGTTGTATTGCAGTGTAATTAATGGATAGCTCAGGGTCATCTGATCCAAACTGGGAGCTGGTTCCACAGAACAGGACTCTGAAAGCAGAAGGCTCTGCCTCCCATTTTACCTTATTTTACCTTCAGCCACAAGTAACCCAATAAAGAGAAGCTAATATGGGAGAAATATTGTCCCCCTTTCTAGTATCAGTTAGTATTCTTGCTGGAACATTTTTTACCAACTGAAGGTTATTCAGGGAGCTTTTAAAGCAAGCTGATAATAATGAATTAAAATAGTCCAGCCTAGAAGTAATACATTCATGAAGTAGCTTTTCAGTATCATTGAGGTAAGCCAAAGAAACGCCTTCTAAAATAAATATCAGGTTATAACCTTAGTTATGTCTGAATTTAGAAGTATGAAATGAGAGGTCACCCAGGCCTTTATGCCATTAAGCTGGATGTCAGCTGCATAGCAATGAAAATGTTATTCAGTGTCAAATAATATAATTCAAATAATATTATATAAGGGGAACATGTATAATGTAAAGTATTGGTTACCACTACAGACCCCTGTGGAACTCCATGACTTACTTTTGTGTATTAAGAAGCACAGATGGATTAGTACTGAAGTTAATACATGACGAATTACTCATGACTGACATATACTCATAGTTTCTGCACCAAGGATAAACACACAAGTTTATTCACCTCTCTGTATTACTCACCTCTCTGTGGTAAATATGTAACCAATCACATCCTTGGCTATACCAATACCGGCTCCAAGGAAACATGAGAAAATCACTGGATTGGATATAAGAAAGGCGTTTTTTAAAATGCGAGCAATAAATTAACTAGGCATATAATTATTTTCTTGCTCTCATTTTTGAGATATTTTTCATTTGACAACAGCATACTAAAACAGGAAATTCTGATTTTGGTGTGACATCCCAATATAATATAATGTAATGTGCATGTAATATAATTTCATACATGCACAGAGAAGGGAGACCTTGCTGGACAGCTTAGCTTGTTCTGTGTTCCCACCACCAAGAGCCTTTCCAACCCTAACACTGGCAGCAGCAGAAAAGCCTACAGGAAACTGTGGAAGAGCAAATGTTAGCAATTACTTCACAGTAACAGAGTAACATTTTGCTCATGAAAATCATTTAGTTACTTTAGAATTTATCAATAACTTTATGTAATGTGTGTAAAATAAACTCAATATACAGGCTCGCCAATGTGGCAAAAGATCTTTTTTTTCACAATTATTCACCACATGAATAAACATGAATCAATAATTTTAAGTAAAATGAAACTGAAATATATAAAAATATTTAAATAAGCAAAAAAAGAAGAAGCTTAAATTGAATTTATACCAATCAAGTACATTTCATTTGACACTGCAATAATGTAACAAAACTATGTGGAGAATTTACATGTAATCAAATAACTTATATCAGCATTTTGGGCATAAATATATTTTGAGTGTGTGTGGATTAGTGACACAGTGTTACAGTTATTATCAATAAGCTACTCAGTTATGAGCCCTCTTGCACATACCTTTAAAAAATGTTTAAATAACTATATCAAAAAACGAGTTACCATGAAAACGACAGTAGACACTTCATAAGCTACAGACTGAGCCGCCAACTCTGTTTCACTGATGACACCAGCCAGGAACCCTGCAATCTCATACAACCACCACTGCAGACAGTACATCAGCATACTGGGGAGGGCCAAGTGGAGGAAGGAACCCCATTCTTGCAGGCAATCTCTAGACCAGCCTGAAAGATAACAGAAGGTATGAAAGGTTTAGCTAAATGCTCACATTTGCCTTCTTTACACTGTGCTGCCATTTAAATTACACTTCTTTCAGTATCTACTATGCTACAAGGCGTTTCTAGCAGTGTGTTAGCATGCTAGCATTCCTTAATTTTTAGGAACTTTATGTATCACACTTGCTTTGAAGGACAAAAATATGCCTAAATTATTTAAAATTGTAATTCTTCTACCTCAGCTATGTTGCTCTTTAGCTAGCTTAAGCACGTTAGCTAAACACTGAAACCCAAATGTCAAAAAATTTGACTTTTACATATATAGACAAGTTTTCAACTCAGCACATATTAAGGAATAAAAACTAAATAAAGTAATGATTTAAAAAACAAACAGCTTGTACATGTTCACCGACAGCAAAGCTGATGTAATTTAATGTAACGATCATGCCACAAATTAATAACAAATCTATAATTAAGGTGTAAATGTGCTTTTTAAAAAAAATAGGTTTTTCAAAAGTATTTGCTGGCTTGTCTTTTAGTATTTTTCGTGTACACTCTGAGGACAATTTAAAAATATAATAGCATCACAAACTAAATCCTCCATAATGATTGTAATGTGGAGTCCAGTCAGTTTAAATAGCAACACCCTTAAAGAGTTTATGCACAACTGATTACTATAATTGTAATGAGGAGCAAAGTATTAGTTCCAAGAGAGTGGCTTTGCCCTTTCTCTGATATCCTGTCACTTAATTTGAAAATTTGAAGAAAAAGTATATCTAGTAAACTTGCCATCCCATGTAGGTATGTGCAGCCCTTTGATGTAGATGCATAAAAACAGGAACACAGCCAGGGAGTACTGTGAGATGGCATTGGCAGCTGCGGATCCGCTTGAATGTTAAGCAATAGAAAAGTAGAAAAGGAAAGTTGCACATACAAAGACGTTCCCAGATTAAGCATTCAGCTGACTATCAGTAATCAACATTATATTGCTTTCCAAAGCTGATTAGTGTAAAATATTAACTAAGGGGAGCAGGGAGTGATGGTGTGTACTTACGCAATCCCCAGATCCAGAACACTGAGGAGGATGTAATTGATAACAGCATTTAAAACATTTCCTATGGCTCCGGATATCACCTGGGGCCACATGATGCCCTGTGAGCCAAAGCAAACTGTATGAAAAACACAGGGTTTTGGTGCACCTGCTGTTATTTTTGCTATTTTTCCCCAAAAAATGTCTCTCTAGCAACACACAAAACAATGTCATTGCATACTCCAAGACATCTCATTAATATTTTGTTTCACACCAGTGTTTTGCAGTCATCAAATGCACCTGATTCTGAAGATACCTCCCCTGCAGATAGTACATGAAGGCAGCCTGCCGAACCCAACGTGTTGAATGGGGGTTAATTAGACTGATAATGCAACACATTATGGAAGGAGATACAAAAGACATTTGGGAAAAGCGTGGTGGCAGCTGAACTCACTGGCAGAGCCGGCATAAAGATCTTCACATACAGCTGTGACAGTCTTTATGGCAGAGAGAAAAGGGGAGATTGTAAGTAAGTGCAGAACCCATACTGAATAACTTTGTGAGTAATAAGTGTATATGTGCCATTGATGTCAGTTTGATTTGTGTAAGAAGGTCACCTTGCAACCTGCGTGCTCTGCTTGACAGCCAGTAAAATGGACTGAGTGTTAATAAGGAGAGCCCAGCAGGGGAAACAGGCTAAGAGGAGGATCAAAACTCCTCTTTGGAGGATCACTCCTACACGCTTCAGGTTACCACTTCCATAAGTCTGAAAGCAAAATGGTAAAAAGGAAAATCTCATAGTATTTGCTGAGGTGCAAGAAAAAGGTAACCACAAGTCTGAAAAAGCAGACTGTGTTTAAGACTGACCCGATTAGATGAATAAAGTGAATTGTACCTGGGTTATGAGAGTATCAAATGTTGATATCAAACCATAGCCGATGGAAATACTTGTGATATTTATGACCTGCATTGAAATTAAACTTTATTACATTACAGAAGAACCTCAGGCTCACAAATGAAAAGCTGAATGCGTGAGTATAATACTTATTTAAAGGCAAAAAAGGCTATTGAAGAGATTTTCAACATTTCACAATAGCAAAAAAAGTAGAAACAAAAAAACGCATCGAGATAGCTTACTGCCATTGCTAACATCATCCCTGCCAGCTCCGTCTTTCCCAGGTGACCGCAGAACACCGCGCTGACGAAGCCGATCAGGAAGCTCATCAACTGTGAAATGAACTGAAAAACAAAATCAAGTGCTTTCGTTTTTATAACAATAAAAAGATAAATGAACGTCGCCAAAAATGAATGAAATGTTACACTTAATATTCAACACATAAAGTTGCTGGCTGGGTTCTTATTCATAAAAGAAACATTAATTCAAGAGGCCCTGAGATAAGAAAAAAAAAGTTCTTATTTGCTCTGGCAGCTGACATGTGTCATGCTTTGATTTTGCTGCAGTTCCTTTGTATTTCTAAATGTCTTTTACTACTTCTCCTTTCTTTAGAAAGTAGTTCTTATGATTGCTGGTGTAGGTTTTTGACAGGTTTTTGGCATCAAAAGGTTTGCACAAAGGAAACTAAATGCCCTCATCTATCAAGTTCTGGCTTTGTGCAATGAACAGCACTCAGTGAAAAGTGGATACATGTTGGGGTTATAACAGTTATAATTTTCTGTTGAGGGGGCACTTGTAAATGTGCCTTATTTTCTGTGGAGACTATTGTTTGAAAAATATCTGTGATTCCACATTTGCTATCGTATTGCATTGAATTTGATGGTAGATGCATTGCAAGGTGTTCAGGGTAGTGTTTTAATTTAGATTCATTTACATTTTGTGCATGACCTGGAACTTCTAGAACATTTTTATATACCCGGCCAATGCATCCAAGAAATGTTGCTGTGTTTGTTTTCTACTACAGTGCTAAAAATAAATAAAGGGAACACTTTAGCAGACAAAATCAGTTAGACTTTAGGGATATCAGCAGTGTTGGGACTAACGCATTATTAAGTAACGCGTTACAGTAACTACGTTATTATTGTGGTAACGAGCACGGTAACTAGTTATTATGCCAAAATCAGGAATGCGTTACTCGTTACTGGGATTTAGATAGGCTCGTTATTCGTGGCTTCCACAGATTCAGTAACATTAGCAAGTGGTGGAGGCCAGCAGGTGGAGGAGAGAAAGGGGAGGCAAGAGGAGAGACCCGAAGCGGCCGCCGGTCCGAGTGTCAGGTGAACTGAACTTCAGGTAAGAAGTTATGACCTGCAGTCTATCTGGGTCAGATATAAACCAAGTTTAGTTGGAGTTTATTTTCGTTGTGCTGACTTTTTCGTACTGCGTGCTAGCTAGCATGACGGGGTTTCTATACAGCTGGGTGGTGCTATGTTACTGATGTTGAACTTCATTTTGTTCATACGGTTAATTATTAGAGTTGCCAACCGTTCCCTAAAAAACGGGATCGTCTCATATTCAGAGAAATTATTATGCGATTTGTATTGAGGTGAAAAGGAACAGTTTGTCCCGGACTTCAGCTACAATGAAAAAGACACAAAGCTGGAGTTATTCTGTCTTTGCTGCACAGCTGCCTCTTCTTCTCTCATTCTCTCCCCTCCCTCTCCTGTTGCTACTTCAATCATGAAACTGTTCAATGATCAGCTGATCGGCTTTTCCCTCTTGTTTATTTATCGTCCACTTTGCGCCAGAAAGAGGAAACCACCGGATGTTGCGTTAAACAACAGCAGCACGTTTGATCAGCTGTTGTTAGAATTTATTTAATATTAATTTCTAGTATCAGCTGATGTTTGCTGGAGCCACAGCTGTAAAGCTGCTGGTCATGATATTGGTTTGTATATCTGGTGAGTGGGAAACATGAAGATGAAACCAGGAGATGTCCTTACTGAATCATCAGAGCTGAACAGGTGATGGAAAAACAGGTTCACCTTTTAGGTGACATGAATGAGTTGAAGGGAAGTTATGAACTGTTTCTGAGAGACAAATAACACCAGGATCCTTTTCTAAGTAGCTGACAGCTGGTAACTGTGCAGGGGCGGATCTAGCAAAGTGTTGCCAGGGGGCCAGGTAGGGCATTAACAGGGAAAGGGGGGCACAAAGAAATACTTTCTTATTCTCATTTCAAATGTCTAGCTTTTAATAAATAATTATCTGAGTCTTACAACAAATGATTGAAAGATTGATACATATATACCATCAAGACAGTGTACATCACTGTCACAACAGTGTTTGTTTTCATTCAAAGGCTTTATGATTTTTCCTATAATGGCGGGCCGGTCTCTAGTCACAATGCCCGGGCTGATTTTTTGTCCCAGTCCAGCCCTGTATGCAGCTCATCTGCAGTCTGGTGTTGCCTACATCTTCCTATTCAGAAGGCAGAATTTCTGAGTACAATCAAAAGCACCACGACTGCAGTTTTTGTGTTGGATGTAAAAAGCGCACATGACGCTGTAACGTAGGCTAGAATCATGGCGGCGGTCAACAACGGTCCAGGCGTGGGATTTCTCTCGTGGAAATATGCACATTATTTTTTCCTTTGGTAGGTGGCACAGTGCACTTGTGGCAAGTAAGCAAGCTAGAAGACTGGCAATCTTGCTGGGTATCCAGTTAGCAACACATTAACAAGAGAAGTCTGAGTAAAACCAAAGTTACTTTCCCTAGTAACTAGTTACTTTGAAAGTAACGAGTATCTTGAAGTAACTGGGTTACTTTTGATGGAAGTAACTAGTAATGTAACTAAGTTACTAATTTAAAGTAACTTACCCAACACTGGATATCAGTTATCAGATTAGGAAGCACAAACCAATGTGAAGGAGTTTCACCTGTTTTGATGCAAATTAAAATGCAGATGCACTACAGAGGTAACAATAAGACCTCTGAATCGTTTCAAGAAACCATTCCTCTCTCCTTATTCAATTTGTCTCCAGTGTTGCTTTTTTTAGTGTCCTTGTGACTACTGCTAGCAGGGGACAGTAGCTGCAGCTCATTCAGGTTGCACAAGTAGTCCAGCTCCTCCAGGATGACTCATCCATATGTCAAAAACAGGTTTGCTGTGTCTCCCAGGACAGTTTCTATTGTGTGAACGAGATATCAGGAAAGGCCATAGAAAGGCGTCAACCCTGCAATAAGACTGGTTTCTGCTCCTTTGTGTGAAGGGGAACAGCAGGAGCACTGCCAGTGCCCTACAACATCACCATCACAGGGCTATTCATGTGCATTCTTTCTGACTAAACTGTCAGAAAATGAACCATGAGCATGGCACAAGATCCTGATATCCTTTAGTGGGGCAAGCACCATGCAGATTGATTGGCATGTGCCACAGATCCACAGAACTGGCAGGTCCACCAGTGGTACCCATTTTCTTCATCGATGGGAGCAAGCTCACACAAGAGTCAATGCTTTGGCAAGCATTATGATGCATGCATCTTGGAAGAGAACAGGGCGCCAGAGGTGAACCCTCTGTGGCTGCTAATTGAGCTACTTGATTGTGAATGTGTCCCACTAAAAAACATCAAGTCCTCACGACAGTCTAATGGAGGCTATTTCTGACAGTTTTATCAGAAAGATGTACATGAGTAACCTACTGGAGGTTATTTTAGGGCTTTAATAGTGCTACCCTTTCTCCTTCTTGCCCAGAGGAGCAGATACTTGTCCTGCTGGTTCCTTCTGTCCAGCTCTTCTGGCGTAACAACCCAACTCCAGATATCTCTTCCACACTCTTGAGACAGTGTTGAGACATAGCCAGCCTTCTTGTGATGCCACATTAGATGTGCTATCTGGAGGAGCTGGACTACTTGTCCAGCCTGAATGGGGTCCGGTTAGCGTGTTATGCTGTATTGAAAAAGATCCTAACAGAAAGTGAATGTAGAGAGAAATCAGTCAGCAGGGATAAGGAGACAGCACCTGCTTTTTGAGGGTTGTCTTGTTGTTGCCTCTCTGGTGCACCTGCTTTTTGAGCAGCCTATTTATCTGTCTTGTGTTTAAAGTGATCAGTGTAAGACTGCACAAGTTTGAAATAAAACATTTAAATAAAATAAAAAATACATTACTGTGCTGTATATTGCTGCAAGGAGCTTGGAAAGAAAAGCGTTTGGACTTCTTTAAGTTCCCTGAAGCACCAGTTGCTCTTAGAACTGAAGAATCAATCAGATGAGGGTTGAAAGATCTTCAAGAAACTTAAAGAAGTCCAGAAGCTTTTCTTTCCAAGCTCTTTAGACTACGATGACCTGGATGACTGACAAACTTCACAGACATATACAGCATAGCTTCTTTCTAATACCACACAATTTCCATTAGTCATCAACAATAAGAAAAGATCAGTTTAGTAAAATAAAGGTCAACATAATAACAGGAAGGTATTTTTTGGTTTATTTTCCCTAAATAATTCATATTAATTCAACTTAGTTTAACTCCATATTTTATCCCAAGTCTTCTACGTCCACCCTGCAGTGATTGTATCCTCCACCAGGGGGCCCACCACACAGCCTGAGAGCCACTTCTCTAAAGCATACAGTATACTATATCTTAGGTCAGTAAAAGGGTGAAATTAGTTTTAGTTAAAGTGCTATCATGATCATACTTTTATCACCATTGGATAATTATTTATCAGTGAGCCTCAGTGGTTTGAAGCAATTAACCTGTTCATTACTGTTTTAATAAAACAGGTGTCACATTAAAAATAATTACTGGTCTAAAACGAACCCCAAGTTAAAGTAACAAACTTCATTCATGACAACTTGTGATCTACACTGCAAACTGCTCAGTATACACTAATAATAACTAGAGAGCTGTTCCAGCATTTACAAAGATTCACATTCAAATTGGAGTACCTTAGTACCGTTAGATTCAGTCATACAGACAGGGTAAAACTTTGTCAGCTGCTTCAGCTAAACACAGTCTTACCACAGGACCTGCAAGTTTTAAAAGCTGAACCATTTCATGCTTGTAGTCCAAAGGCACCCAGCGCTTGATGCTTTTCAGGCAGGATCCGCAGGATGAGTCAACACTGAGAGCAGCAGAAGGAGGCAATTCGTCTGTTCTGGACTGACCAATTACCCCTCTACATCTACTTTCAGATACTAAATCTTCCATCCTGAAATGAGATTTGGCAGAAAACAAAACTCAGTCCCAAACTAAATGATGTTCGCACAGTGCATTCCCTTCAGACAATGTGAAGGAGGCTGAAAGCAATCAATAACCAATTACCAGAGTATTAATCAATAACCAAGGCTCTTCTTGCCCACGTTGCTCCTTGTCTCTGAAAGTGGACATGCACTGTAAATGGCAGCAGGGATCTCACCACCTCTGTCCCACCAAAAAAGCCAGGACACTGCAAGCTGCATCACAAATAAGGTTGATCATTGAAGAATCACTGGTCTTCACCGCATCAACAAAGCAGTCAAAGTGCAAGTTCACAGTTCTATGGTTAAACACTAACAGGTCAAAACAGTGTTCATCCTGTTTCTCCCTGTGCCTTATTGGTTATTACAGGGGTGGATTTCACAACTTGCTATATAGAAGAAGAAGTTAAATCTCCAAGGTGTTACGATTTAGTCTAAAAATAAATGCAGATCAAATAAAGAGAGAGCTTTATTAAAATCTCATAAAGTCTAACAGTTTCAACATAAAAATACAAGAAATGAAAAAAACAAAAACACCCCCCCCCAAAAAAAAAACCCAGACATAACAAAACAGAGGACCTAGGAATCCTGATAACTCACACTAGGGCACACTAGGGAAAGGAAATAACAGGGAGGATTGGACTATTTATACACATGGGATTGATAAGGGAAGTGGAAACAGGTGGGGAAAGTAGACACAAATGCAATCAAGACAGCTGTAGACAAAGAGGTAAAACTCAAAACAAGATACAAGAAACAATTAGCAACAACCATAATTGAAACATATATGAAGTAATACATTGGGTAACATCGGAAGAGGAGAAAGAGTGAGTAGTAGAAAAGGAACTCAAAATATGAACTGAAGCCTAGTAGGAAAAAAACAAGGATTCAAAACCTACACTGGAACAGTAAATCATATTAACACGATTTCGATTCTGTAAACACTAAACAATAACAAGACAACAATGGGAACTAATGCATAAAGTGAAATCAAAACCTTAGCCTGACTATAATCAAAAACCAAAAGCACAAGAACAACGAAGAAAGCCAACAAAAACACAATAATCCAAAAATGCAATAGAAACTGAATCAGGACAAAGGGAGCATTTTGAACACCATCAAAGAAGAATTAAACAGTGCAGGTAAATGACACATTATCCTTGGTGCTAGATATGTATTGAGGGATTAAAAAGACACTGTCACTGGTTCCAAAGATTTAGCCTGCTCTGGATTTGGTCTCTTTTTCTTTTAGGATCCAATGCTGCCATTTGATATAAGCTTTTCTTTTTCTGTTTTCTGTTTTGGCATTGATAAAGCCAATAATAATAATAATAATAATAATGGATTGGATTTATATAGCGCTTTTCAAGGCACCCAAAGCGCTTTACAATGCCACTATTCATTCACTCTCGCATTCACACACTGGTGGAGGCAAGCTACAGTTGTAGCCACAGCTGCCCTGGGGCAAACTGACAGAAGCGAGGCTGCCATATTGCGCCATCGGCCCCTCTGGCCAACACCAGTAGGCAGTAGGGTAAAGTGTCTTGCCCAAGGACACAACGACCAGGACAGAGAGCCCAGGGATCGAACCGGCGACCTTCCGGTTACAGATGCGCTTCCCAACTCCCCGAGCCAAAACAACTAACGGCAAAATACTATTATATTAAGATGCTGATTTTACCATAAAGCTGGGTGATAATATACAGTCACGTGAAAATGAAAGTTATCACATGTGTGAGCAATTTTATAAAAAATGAAGTTTGGGTAGTTTGCAGGACTGGAGCATTCAAGTGTGTTAACATGACACTACAGTCTTCCTAGGAATGGAAATCGTACCACATTCACAAGATCACACTGTCGGATGCTCAGAAAAAATGCAAACATGCAAATATTTCAGTTAGCATATTAAATGTTATATGTATCAGCACAAATACCTCATACCAACTGTCAAGCGCAATGGCGGAGGGGTGATGATTTGGGCTTGTTTTCCACAGTACTTGGGCATCTTACAGTTGTTGATTAAACTTGAAGTTTATATACCAAAGTATTCTAGAGTCAAATGTGAGGCCATCTGCCTGACAGCTAAAGGCTGGCCAAAACTGGATCACGCAAAATGACAATGACAATGACAGCATGAAATCTACACCAGAGAGGAGGCTGATAAAGAGAATCCAGGTGATCCAGTCAAAGTCCAAACCCTTATCTGTTTGAAATTTTGTGGCGGACTTTATTCCTGCCAGAGAATTTGCCCACAAAGCTCAATGAAGCAACATTATAGAGTAACATTTCCTCCACAGTGATATGAAAAACCGATAAAGTTACACTGCATAGTGTCCTGTGAAAATGTTTTTTATACATAACATCTGAGAGATTAAAAACCAATCTCGCCTAGCAATATACCACATTATCTCAATATGTGTGTTTACCAATGTAGCTAAAAGTTTAAAATCAAGACTTTGCTATATTTTTGTGTCTGATGCAATCATGAGACCAATGGTCTTTGAGTGGAAGTTGCTGGACAACAGTGTAAGGTTGCATTGACAACCATGCTGACATTTGCCAATTTGTTCATGAATCTGACCTGAATTACAGTTTTTAAACCTTCTCACTATAGGCTCAACATCTGTGAATCACCATGTTCACTATCAGCTAAGGGCAATAATTGAAAAATCAGCTCACCAATAAAAACTGCACTGTAAAAACTATGTGCCTTTTAGTCAAAGGAGAGACATAAAAAGAACTGGGTCTGTGCTTTTCAGAGACAGACTACATTTTGTTTCCCCCCTCACTGAAGTAAATCACTGAGTCACTGCTGCTGTAAAGCGTCGTGCATGCTTGTATCCTGTCAATTTTGCAGCTCATTGCGTAGTATGTTCATGTTCTTTTCTGCCCTAGTAACACCTCTCAGTGAGGCGTTCCTCTCTCCAGCTGTGGCTATGAAAACCTCCCATTGGGTGGTGCTGTTTTGCTCTTGTGAAAATTCAAATGCACAAAATTTCTGGCACCAGCACCAGACTGCTTAACTGAACTTTGAATGGATTTCTTACCATATAATAAATGTAAAAAAACGCCCATTTGTTTATTCTTCAGCTGCTTTAAATAACTGAATACAGTTAAAGAACCCTGTAACATACTGTCGAACATACCGTCAAACACTTGGATAGTTTTTGCAGTTTTAACTGTTTTTCTTCACCTTGGGGGCCAAAAGGAGATGTGAATTAGAGGAAAAAGGAATGAAAATTAGCGGAGACCAATGAGAGAGGAAGGGGTGACATCTAATGTAGGTTCTCATTCATTTTCCTGGTTCAGTGATGCAGCAAGGCCCAACGGGTCCACCCACTCACCAAATTGTATTCCTCTGTCTCCCCCATCCCATCCACATGCACAGAATCACACACACGTAAATATTCTCCACCAACCAGCGGGGCCGGCGTCCGCCATGACGTCACACTGCAGTTCTTCTCGGGCTCCACTGGATGACAGTGGCAATTCGCCGCTTACACGCGATGAGCCGTCATTCTTAATGGCGACCGCTCAGAGTGTGTGTGCGTGAGTCCATTCGTGTATGTGTTTGTGTGCAGTTTGGGTGGGGTTTGTATCGGATGGGTAGCGATGGGGTATTGAGGAGGTGGAGAGGGTTTATTGGAAGGGGGTAGGTGGGTTGATGAAGGTGTAGGAGGCGGGGGGCGGGCCGTAAAAATCGCAAATGAGAGGAAATTGTTTTGAGTCAGAGCAGATTTGGTGGAGGGAGATAAGGGCTGATGACGGTGGCGGTGGTGTGATTAGGATTAGGGTGGGGGGTAGGGGTTTGAAAAGAGTAGAAGGTTGTGGAGGTGGTCGTGGTGGTGTGGGAGGAGGAGGAGGGGGAAGAGGAGGACGGTGGGGTTGGTGGGTGAGAGCATTTGCACGCACGCCCTACGACTGTGTGTGTCTATCTACGTCTAGGTTGTGAAATTTTTCCTCCTGAGCGTCAGCGAGTAGAATTGGGGGGAAAGATGAGGAGATGGGTGGTTTAGATAATGGCCGCCACGGAGAACGGACGAGGGCAGAGGGTGTCACGCTGAAAGATAGAGTGTGATGGAACAAGAAAGCGTGGACGAGACAAACGTGAACATTCGATAATAGAGAGGTGAAAACCCCCCAATAAACAAAAAACAAAAAACAATAAACACAGAAAGATAGAGTGGAGAGGGTGTATGGGAAGTAGGGTGGTGGTGGTGGGGGGCTTGGAGGCCTGGATGAGAGGAGAGACATTGAAAGAGTGCCAGAGTGATTTTTGTCATGTTCTCCACCCTCCCTCCCTCCCTCCCTTCCATTTGTTGGCTATGTTGTGGGTAGCTTTGGCGGCAAGAGCTTTAGGGGCTTTGGAGTGAACAATGACGTAGAGGGACCCGCTGCGTCTGCTCCAGCTGATAATGATGATGCCTAAAAACGATAACGATAATAAGTAGCTTCTTGTGGAACCCTAAAACCGCCGGCACGTGACGCTATACGTCACAGGCTATCACACGCGACGCGCCGGACACGCAGACATGACTATCTCATGTTGGCAGAGTGTGTGAGGGTGGTCAGAGGGAGCGAGGGAGACACAAAGAGAGACAGAGGTGGAAACAGAGAGAGAGAGGGAGAAAAAAAGGGGCACGAGGAGGGAAAGAGATTAGAGCCTGTCACCTGCATATACTTGACATTCGCGTATGGGACGAACGTGTAGGAGCTGAAATGAAAAAACAAAATGAAAGCATTTATAGCTCCCTCTATTGTATGTGGGCAATCTTGTGTAATTTTGCTTTTATCAGTACAGAGAGAGAAAGAGAAAAAAAACACTCAAAGGCAGCCACTCAGAGAAAGCTGAACCCTACTGGGAAGCATTATTTTGAAACATGGTAAAAGCTGAATGAGATGGTGGGAGGTGTCGGGTGGGTCCGAGGGAGGTGGGGTGTCGGGAGGTGGTAGTGGTGGTAGAGGGGGTTGTCTGACATCACTTTGACCACATTTTCAGTTTAAATCCACACGATGTCAAGCACGTCATTTGAATTTTGGACTTTGCTAAAAATAAAAAAAAGGGAACCCATAATTGAAGCGTGGACTCATCTGACTGAAAAATGACGATACAGATGAAAAGTAATTCAGCCATGACTAAAGCAGAAAAGAAATTTTGCTGTCTGCCTTTTGATGATGTACGAGCCATTGAGTTTCTTT